CCCCGTGCTCGCTCATGCAGAGGGAAGAGAGGACCTATAGTTGGTTGTGGACCAGCCCTTCAGTTGGGAACAGCTGACAGACAGATGATCCGCGTGCTGAGTCCCGTTCGCCCACAGCCACAATGGGCGTTCTCCCCATTTGCAAGTCCTCAACCTGGGCCAGACTCCCCGCACATCCTCTCGGGCTTCAAGATCAGGACCTGCTCTCCCCCACACTCCTGGCCGCTCCCCCCCCCCCATCTCCCTCCTTACCCAGACTCCCAAACCCAATAGGGGACCAGAAAATATTTATCTCCTATAAGAAGCCTGGGCACTATGCTTCTCCCACTTTAAGCCTATGAGAGCCAGGCTGTGCCCGGTCCAGCTGCCCTGCAGGGATTTGAACCCGCATCTGCCTCTGCAGGGACAGTGAAGTACCCAGGCTTGGGGGAGGGGGGTGCCCAGGGCTGTGCACTGCACCAGCTGGGACAGAGCAGGGAGGAGCTACCAAGGGCTGGGCATCTGGCCTCTGAGGCAGAGGGGTGGCCGCAGGACTGCCCCAGGCTGAGCCATCAAGGGACTGGGATAGGCAGGCTTGTTAAGGAGGCTATTCGCCCAGGAGAGCAGATAATGGGGCTGCCCGTTTTAAATTTTAAATTTCTCCCAGACAGATGTCACTGGAGAAGGAACAGTGAGCGTTTGCCACCAGAGAAAGAGGGGGTGGCCAAGGCCCGCCCCCCACTCTTCAAAACTGCAACCTGCTTTTCTTCCTGGAGCGACACTGGTCTCTCAGGGGGAACAGCTCCGTACAGTTTGCAAAGCCCTGATGCTACCTCACTTTCTAGTCAGGGGCTCTTCACACATCACAGACGAGGATCAGAGAGGCTGAGGAATATGCCCAAGCACTTGGACCAGAGAGTGAGAACTCTATTGTCCTTCTAACCAGTCCCTTTGGTTGCCTTCCTGGGCGCTCTGTTCCTCTTCTTCACTGTGCGCCAACCCCCCGCATGACAGAGCCCTTCTTGCTGAGATCTTAACTTCAGGAATTGTCCTCAAGGCTGCCCCAGTCTTCCCTCCTTTGGTACCTTACCGGTCCTGACTGCTTGCTTCCCACCCCCGGCTCTAGCCCACTTCTAGAGCTTTTCTCTCTCATTTGATTGGTGCCACCAGGCCCAACACACTCCACATCCAGGAACACCCTACCTGTTCTACGAGGACTGGAATGAGGCCACCTCTTCTGGGAGGCCTCCCTGGATGCCTGGGGCAGGGATCTTGGTCCAGGCAGTTTTGTTTTTTAAAGTATGCCCCTGACTCTAGATCCTTCTCCCCTCTGAGTCCCCCATTGCCTCCCTTAGGTCACCCCCTGCCCAGGTTGTATTCCTTCCCAGAAGCCCAGGTCAGATGCTGAGGTCACCTGCTTGATGCTTGACCAGGAGGAACACGGGAGAGGAGGGATAGGAGCTTCTGGGGGAGACTTGAAGATGTACTGGGCCAAGTGTGGCCTCCCAGGTTCTGCTGGCCCTGGGGACCAACTTCCAGCTGCACCAGGCAAAGCTCAGCTGTCTGTGCTAGGTATTGGGGATTCTGGATACCCCTTCCATCATCAAATAATGAGCCAGTATGCTCCAGGCTGGTCTTGTGCCCTCTGTATGCTTAGACCAGGGACCAGGTCTTCCTATGAGGAACACTGAGAGAGTAGGGGTGGAAGGAGAGGGCTGTGCCTCGCTCTCTTGGGGACTTCTTCCTCCATCCTAGTATTACCTTGGTCTCTGATTCATGCTAAGTTGCTGTTTTTCACTGGCACATCTGTAAAATGGGACCCACCATCTGGTTCTTCCTCACCTACCCTAATGAGGTGAGCTAACATGGGAGTCAAGTGAACTTCTGGTGTGTTTGCAGCCCTCAAAGTGTTGTGTGCCTACACCCTGATCACAGCCCTCCTCCCTGCTCCCAGGGTGGGATGCATGCATACCAAGACTGCACCCCAGCATCAGACCAGGCATAGCTCACATCCTTGCCTCTCACTTCTTGTTCACACCACCACAGGAGGCTGGCAGATATAATAGATGAGACCTCTTCCCCGCCCCCCCCCCAGGGACCAAACCAGTGACCTGAGCAACTGGGGCAAAGGTCAAGGTGAAGGGGAGAAGCCTGTACCCTGAACCCGCTGCTCTCCAGAGCCTAGTCACTTGGTCAGTGGCCCCAGCCCTTCCTCACGTCCAGGCATGGCCACTCCTGGGGACCTCCTTAGGCCTGCCCTGCCTGGCTCTGTTCCTTAACTGTCTCCACATTGGATGAATGACCTTGGCCAAGTGGCTGACTCCAATTTCATTAGGGTGTCTTCCTGTCTCCTGCACAGCAAGGGTCTTGTATGCCTTGGGGCAGGAAGACACTGAAGTGATATTTGCCAGGTGTTCAAATAATATTCAAGAACTACACACCAGCTTCCGGTCCTGGAATGTCTGAAAGACGTTACCCTGAACCATCTCCTCTGAGGGAGTGGTAGCCCAGCCATGCCCAACCCTGTGTTTCAGTTATTTCAAAACTTCTAGAAACATTCCAGAAAGCAAGCAAGCTATTCTGTTTGGGAAGTCTTTCCTGAGGTTTGGGAAGTCTAACCTTAGTCCTTGCTGCATTTAATTTATTCCGTGGCTATTTACAGAGACCCTACATTACACCAAGAGATTCAGCCCACGCCTCAGGAAACATGGAGTCCCCTAGTGACAAACCCACAAGTCAGGAACTGCCACAGGCCATGGTGGATGCCATACAAGAAAGATCTCTCTTTCTTCTCATTTACTAGAGCTTGAGAAGTCACCACATCAGATTTGAGGTGAGGGAGGAAGAGACCATTGAAAACCCCCACTTCAGCTGTCTTTTGAGTCAGCATGGCCTACCTGAGGCTCCCAGGTGTGGTAGAAGTAGGCAGAGAGAGTCACATAGAGCTGCTGGTGACATTTGGCTAAGAGGGGTCTGGGTATGTTTGGCCCTGGGAAGGGAATAGCAGACACCAGGTGTGTACTCTTGGGGCTGGTCGAGGCTAAACTTCCAGTATCTGGGGCCTGGAGGGATATAAGGGGCCAGTGTCCTGTCTTCTCTTTGTTCAGGCCAGGGGTGACACTCAGTGACTCTGAGGCAGGTGATGAAGATGTGGCCAGCTTGGGGGTGCAGAATTAAGGCTCAAGTGAACCATGTGGTGGAGGCCAGAATCTGGGGTGGCAAGAGCCAGGCCAAGGATTCCCTGGGGAGTGAAAATGTAGGTGTCTTGAACCTCTAGAAGGAATGGCTCAGGTGGCTCCCACATCATCTCTGTCACCTTGGGCACCTTCAGCGGCTGCCCCTAGTACCTTCCAGAAAGCCAGAGCACCCCAGATCTCCAGTGCAAAGTCAGCAACCCTGGTCCACCCTAAGTGCAACCACAGCCTCTGGCTGAGGCTCCCGGGATGGGGAGACAGAATGGCTGTCCCCTGACACCCTGCCTCCCTGGTCCACAAGAGACCTCCTTATTCGGGCTGGTGGTCAAGATGAGGCTTTCTGTCTAGGACTCATGGGACTGGGCTGCCAGGGAAAGCAAGAAGAGGGCACGGGTGCCATAGGCAGGGATGGAGTTCCCAGGGTCCCTTGGTATTGAATCTGCTACTGTAGCTACCCAAGTTGTTCCCAAGGACTGGTGACTCCAAAAAGTATATTGGACGAATGTCACCTCCCCATAGAGATATTCTGGGAGGCTTTTGCTTCCCTCCCAAGGCAAGCCCCACTTAGCCTTCCATTGAACAAGTGCTTACTTTTTTTTTCTATTTTTATTTACTTCATGTAGTGGGCAGCAGGGTTACACATGCCACAGTGCATAGAGGTCTGAAGACAACTTTTGGGAGCTCCTATACATGAGTTCCAGGCATTGAACCCAGGCTGTCAGGCTCTACAGAGAGCACCTTAACCTGCCAACCATCTCAAGGCTTGCAGGGATCATAGACATCCCTTTAGCTGGGAACACGCAGGCCTTCAACTCCATCTCCTGACTCGGGCTTCTAGGCTCTATGCCTTGTCCTTGGGAGGCTCTGTGCTGTGCTGCCCCCACCGCCACCGTGTATAGGAGGGTTGGGGTGCACCTTGTTCTGCCTGGCCAAAGACTGATTAATAAGCTCCAGCCTGAGGCACAGCGCTGGCCGCCTGGCCTGGGCCCCCTTATTATCTTGGGCGATTTCTCTGCGAGGCACGTAAGCCGCAGCCTATAAAAACGAGCAGCTCTTCATCTTTAGAGTTGATCTCTAAAGACTAATTCTCCTCCAAGAGCAGCCTGCTCCATCACTGAGCTCCCATGCCACACTGGTTCCAAGGGACCCTGCAACTCCCTCCACCCTCTCCTCCTCTGTCCCCACTCCCCTGGGAAGACTTGTGCCCAATCCATCAGGATGAAGTCCTGGAGACCCATTGGGAGATGTTGAGCCTTCCTCCAAGCTGGCTGGGGGACCTCAATGCCACACAATCAGAGGACAGGGCTTGGAGATGCTCAGGCGTGACAGGCACCTAGCTGCCAACACAGCTTTGTTCCAGCCTTGCTTAACAGGGAAGGAATGTTGGGGAACATTCAACCCACAGCCCCCAAACCCCAGGCTGTCTCTAACATTCCCCCAACGCCCGTGTCACTTTGGCATTGGGTCTTTGCTCACCGAGCCTCAGTTCCCACATCTGCACAATGAATTCAGCCGCAGCCTTCACAGCAGTGGGTGCTTGCAGGCTTCAGAGGCATGGACATGGTGCATGACTGAGGGATGGTGACCATAAGGAACCTATGGGCTACTGGCCCACCTGGCCTGGGGTGGGGGGCGTGGTACAGCCTGGGGCTCCATCCATTCTGTGTGTGCCATCATGAAGAGGAGGCAGCCGCATCTCAGAACCTCAGGCTCAGGCTCTGCCGGGAGGTCCTGAGACTCTGTGGTGCCAGGTGTCCCAGCTTGTCCCAAAGGCATGGCCTGGCGCACCTATTCTCCCTGTCTCTGTATATCCATCCACTTCACAGGTCAGAACTTAGCTGTGCCAGGTGGTTAAACTAGGGGTGGGGCCAAGATCCAGGTAGGTGTCCTTCCCATGTCTTGCCAGTTCCCGGATCCCCCAAAACTGTGAACTCAGCCTTTGTCAGAGCTCCAAAGGGATCATGTCCCCAGAGAGTTGAGAATCAAGTCACTGACACAAATACCCCTGGAGGGACATGGGGTCTGAGCCTCCACTGATGTGTCTTTTGGAAAGTCCCTGAGCCTGGCTCATGGGACTTCCTTTAAGTGGAAAAGTGATGAAATGGGTGACTGAATTGAAGGTGATAAAATCTGTCCTGAGCAGCACTGGGGGAGAAGCCACTGCAGGCTGGGGAGAGAAGGAACAGTCAGGGAGGGCTTCCTGGAGAAGGCAGCCCTTTGCCCCCAGCCCCTGCTCCTCTCCTGCCAAGAGACTTGGGAGCTGTCTGTGGTATTGGGATTTGTGGGAGTGAAGCAGTTGGCGTCTTAGTAAACACAATGGGTATTTTCTATATGTCAGGAAAGCAAGCCGGCAATCAGCTACACCATAAGATCTTACCATGTATGAGAAAGGGAAGGTGTCCTCCCGATGCAAAGGACACACAGAAATAACGCTTCGGGTGGAAGATAAAAACCACCTCCAGATGCTCTGAGCACATTGATCATGAGATAATAAAAGCCACTAATATTTATTGCAGAAGTGTAACGTGCTAGGCACGGCTCCAGGGGCTTTAATATACTAACTCATTTAAAGAGGCATCTCAAATTCAGAAGTTGAGAATGTAGGGGCAGTGTGTGTGTGAGAGAGTTGAGATTTGGTTACAGGAGGTGCCTAGCCACTGCCTCCAAAGGCAGGAGCTCGGAGGTCCAATCAGAACGCTGTTTCCTAATTGGCTGTGTGATTCTGGGCAGGTCCCTTGCCTTCTCTGGACTTCAGTTTTTCCCACATATAAATGCTCAGAGGCTGTGAGTGACTTGGTAGAATGAGTAGGTCCCAAAGCATTGTCACCACACAATCATGGCACCATTTTTAATTACAAATTATACTCTGGCTTTGGCTTCGGTTGTTCTTTGGTTGTTCAGTTGTTAGGACAGCTTGTTGCACCAGCCCTGTCTGCTTTCCTTGTCTCTCTCTCTGACCCAGGGCTGCGTGCAGCTTTCTTGGGGGGGGGGGGGTTCTCTCTTTCCTTCCAGCCTCCTGAGCCTCTCTGGGCACAGTCACAGGCATAGGCTGGCTTCTAATGCTTCCCTTCCTTTCTCCTGTCTGTCTGTGTGTCTGTCTGTCTGTCTGTTCTGGGCTGACCTACAGAGACCAAGCTGCAGCTATGTGCTGTGCACAGTGCTCCTGTCCCTTGCAGTGCTGCTGGCTGTGGCTGTTACTGGTGCAGTTCTCTTCCTGAACCATGCCCATGCGCCGGGCACGCCCCCTCCACCCGTCATCAGCACAGGGTCTGCAGGGGCCAACAGTGCCCTGGTCACTGTGGAGAGGGCTGACAGCTCCCACCTCAGTCTTCTTATCGACCCTCGATGCCCTGACCTCACCGACAGCTTCGCTCGCCTGGAGGGTGTGCAGGCCTCCATGCTGCGGGCACTGAGTGACCATCAGGCCCAGCCGAGGCTGGATGGTGCCCCTGAGCTGCTGGATGCACTGGCTGACCATCTGCCCCGGCTGCTGGCCCGGGCCTCTGAGCTGCAAGCTGAGCCCCGGCTGCTGGCCCGGGCCTCTGAGCTGCAAGCTGAATGTGCTGGACTGCGCAAGGGACACAGCATGCTGGGCCAGGGCCTCAGCACCCTGCAGAGCGAACAGGGTCGCCTAGTCCAGGTAAGGAAGGGCTGGGATCTACATATGCCCTCTGGTGGAGGGTGTCTTGATTTGAGAGGTGGGGTCACTGGCTCCTGTACTGAGTGTGTAACGCGTGTAGCCTCAGTCTCTAAGTGCTCCAACCTGGGCCTTGTTCTTTCCAGTTGTGGAGGGCTGTGTTCTCACATTCATGACCAATATCCCAACCCAGCTTTTCTCCCACTTTCCTGGTAACCGTGCAGCCTTGTAGACCCAGTGCTAGAGGGGCTCCCAGGCCCACTGAGAGGCTGTAAATTGCAAGCAAGGCAGACATTGCCTCTCCGCCTTCTCCCCTGCCCCCCATGATTAGTTGCAAACTGAGGTTAGGAGGGTGAGGCTTGCTCCCAGTCTGTCTTATGACAGCTCACTGTCCATGGGAGCTGTCACTGCTTCGTTCTGAGCTGACTACAGGTTTCCAGGGATGCAGGGCCATTGAAGGGAACCCAGTCAGGCCCTTGACCTCCCAACTCCTCCATCCCCAACCCTACCGGGTACCCAGCCAGGTTCCTGCAAAGATCAAGTAAAGTTGGAGGACAGGTTTTGGGTTTGGCTCTGCCACAAGGCCCGGAAGGCCCTCTACACCAGCTAGATGTGCTTGGAGGAGGAGGGACCCATGACTGCCCTGTTTACCTCTGCTGTTTTTCAGAAAATTTGAGGCTTGGAAAGTGGTGCTGGTGTGTCCGTGGTACCCTGCCCAGCCCCCAGCCCTGTGCCACTTCACCCCTGTGACTCAGCCTTAGGGCTGAAGTCAACCCCACCCCACTAGCCATCACAGCTGTTTCTATACTCTCCTCATTTGGACACCCAAGGTGACCAGGCATTTGGTCATCCATAGCTCATGAGCGGTCGCCCTCTTCCCTCCCCTTGAAGGCTGCAGCTGGAGAAATTATAGCCCTTGTCACTCTGTCTGGGTGACTGACAGGGTGATGTGTCCCCTGGGTTGGGGGAAATACAGCCAGCTTCCTGCTGCTCCTCCCCGGGCCCATCAGCAGAACAAGAGATTGCCAGAATCTGGGTGACAGGAACCCCACTCTGCCTTCCCTGAACTCAGCCCTGGTGAGCTCAGGCTGGCTACAGATAGCCCTCTGAGCAGGAATGTCCCCCATGTAACACAAGATGGATAGTGTCCCCAGTCTCCAGTGCTGCGACTCACCTGGTACAGTACCATCTGAGATGTTTTCTGTCCTTTGGGATCATTCAGAGACAACCAGTCACGTTCCCTCACCCATCTTGCAGCACCTTCCCGAACCCCTCGGCACTGTTCCCAAAGCCACAATTGCTAGAGGTCTGTTGCTCACTGGCCTAGCTAAGGTTAGCAGTTCTTCCTGTGGACTTGAGGATACAGTGTGCGGTCCATCTTAGCTTCAGGCAATCTTGGGTGGAGCACATCCCCTCTCTAGGTAGGTTCTTCCCACCTGTTAAATGGGGTACCAGGCCAAGCCCAAGGGGATGCTGGTATTGCTGATTGCACAGAGGATACAGTGTGCGGTCCATCTTAGCTTCAGGCAATCTTGGGTGGAGCACATCCCCTCTCTAGGTAGGTTCTTCCCACCTGTTAAATGGGGTACCAGGCCAAGCCCAAGGGGATGCTGGTATTGCTGATTGCACAGAGCACAGTAGGCCTGCAGCATGTAAAGACACCCACTGCTCACTCCATCTGTAGACTGCTCATAGGGAGCCTCCATTGAAGACCCTTTGTAAGTGGAAGTGATGGTCCACTTGCCCAGGGGCAGGGGCCTTTGTTGCCCCACTCTGCAGAGGGGCAGACTGAGGCTCAGTGGTGAAGAGCCTGGTGAAAGCCTGGTCACTGTTGAGCCTCGCTGGAAGCAGCTGCCCTGATTTCACAGCCTCTGGTCGCCGCCAGCTCTTCTCATGATGCTTTGTGCGGCTCAGCGAGCAGGGACTGACTCCCTATTAATTCGGGGCAGGTTTATATGTTTCAGTGGTAATCATTTGCTAGTTTAAACCGAGGTCTCCTCTGCCTGCCAGGGAAAGGGAGGGGCCATGCCTGAGCTGCTGAATGTCATGGCCATGGTGACTCAGAAGGATGGGCTGTGCACTGAGGGGTCTTTGCCACCTGCTCACCAAAGGCTGCCTGTGTCCCCACAGGGACTCCATGGAGTCTGACCATAGGTCACTGTGGTAAGGGCAGCGGGCTCCTCCTGCTCACTGCAGTGCTCCTGGAGACCACTGAATCACCTGCTCAGCAGAGGGGAAACCAACAAGGCCTAGAGCTTCTCAGGGCCCAGTCTTCGGACGAGCAGAGAATCATATTTTGTAAACTGCTGGCTGGGTGTATTTCTTTCTCTTTCTTCGATGGGCTATTATCTGGCGAGTGACAGGTTCGGTGAGCAAGACCTAGCTTACTTCGTGCTGCCAGCTGCCCACCGTCTCCCCCTCCACTGGGTCCCATAGCTCTCCGAAGCCCTGGGTGAGGATGCAGGGGACCCCCACACCCTGCATCCAGCCAGCACAGTAAGGGGTTCCTGGGGGAATCGATGCTGCTCTATTGAGCTCCAACCCATGGATAGTGATGGAGGGGAAAATGGGAGAGGTACGTGTTACCTCAAACGGCTGGAGACAGTCCACCCCAGAAAGATAGGCCCCCTCCTCCTGGTCTGCAGACAGGGTAGGGAAGGTGTCACACAACTGATGGAGCACAGGACTGGAGCCACAACCCACTCAGGGAACAACAGGGTTGTTCCCCACCTGGGTTAGTAGTACCATGATTGCTCCCTCCCCCTGCCACCCATCTGCCCTGAGGAGGCGGCATGAACCCCGATTCTCATCCATACTGGCATACTGATGGGGTCTTTCTCCTTTGAGGCTTCAGGTTCCCTCTGGGAACATGGAGGTAATGGTCTCAAGTCCTGGCTCTTTGCAGTATGAGGGGGCCCTGTGAGGTGATGGACATCGGGCATCTATGGAGACTCCCTGCAAATGGGGGTGGTGGTGAAGGGAACAGAGGGTGTCCTTGCTTAGGACCCAATTTGAACCCAGTGACTCGTGCCCAGGCTCTATGCCCTTCCCAAGACTCAGGCCCGTTTCTCCAAGTTCAGGGAACCACCCTGCCTTAGCCTCCTCATGTGGGAGCTTTAGAAGAAATGGTGGCTGGGATGCACTATAGCCAGGAAGGTAAAGCAAGGACCTCACTGGGGCTAATGCCACACTGGTGCTGTGTGTGTGTGGTCACAGGTCCCCACAGCAGCTAGGCTGGGGAGATGACGATAACTCATTTCCCTCCTAATAACCGAGGCTTGCTGGGGTGTAGAGTGTGGCTCAGTGGGTAGTGCTTGCCTGTGAAGCAGGAAGCCCAGGCTGGGTTCCCAGCACTGCATATACTGGGTGTATTACAGACAAGTATATGGGGAGGTTGGGGCAAGAGCATCAGAAGTTTAAAGCCAGCCTGACCCACATGACACCCTGTCCCAGTGACAGAATGAAGGCGGGCAGGTTCAGGAGGATGAGCTCTGCCTGATGCCCACGGCTGCCTTTCCCTGCACTGTCCCTGGCAGCTGCTGGATGCATGGCAGTGGCCAGGCTTCCACCAGAGCCCTAGCCCTCTGAACCCCTTAGAGCTCTACTGACCCTTCAAATTGCCATAAACATGACCCTTAGGCCAGGGCAAGGGGAGGGTCGAGGGGAAAGAGAAGGCTTCCCTGGCAGGGGGCTCCCCAGGTCTGTGTCCCCTCTAATGTCTTCTGTGCTCTGCAGCTTCTTTCTGAGAGCCAAGGCCACATAGCTCACCTGGTGAACTCTGTCAGTGATGTCCTGGAGGCTCTGCAGAGGGAGAGGGGGCTGGGCCGGCCCCGTGTCAAGGCTGACCTTCAAAGGGCCCCTTCCAGAGGAGCCCGGCCCCGAGGATGTGCTAATGGTAAGGGAAACATGCTTGTTTTCTCTGGGTGGCTCTGGTGCTCAGTTCCAGGGAAGAAACTTGTAGTGACGGTTGTCTACCGTCCTCTACCGCCTTGACTCTGATAGAAAGGACATGATGCTGCTATAGAAATCAGATTTCCTGTGGGCCAGGTGACTCAGAGTCTGACCTGGTGAGCCATGAGCCCATTTTCCAGATGAGGAAAGCAAGGCCCCAAGGATTCCCTGAGGGTTTGTGCTCTTGACAAGCACAAGGTGAACAGACTTGTCAGAGAGAGCTGAGGAGCTCTTTGGAGGGAAGGGATGACAGAATGTAGCATCTGGGCCACCATCGCCCTGATCTGGCTCCCCTGTCACAGGCTCTCGGCCCCGGGACTGCCTGGATGTTCTCTTGAGTGGACAGCAGGATGATGGTGTGTACTCCGTCTTCCCCACTCACTACCCAGCTGGCTTCCAGGTCTACTGTGACATGCGCACTGATGGTGGAGGCTGGACGGTGAGTCTGTCTTGTGCATTCGTCTGTAGAGGCAGGACCCCCCCCCCCCCCCCCCCCCCCCCCAGCATGCTCTACCTAACTCTAACTCCAGCTCCTCCCATCCCCTATAGATACCAGGTGAGTCTGCTCTCAGGGAGCAGAAACCAGGTAAGAGGCACCGTTGCTCCTGAGCCCTGAACACCCATGCCTTGGTTCTCAGGGTGTGCCTCGGGGTGCGGTGACCTTGGGATAGAGATGCCTAGGGACCTGTCACTCACATGGACTGAGTAACACTTCTTTTCTATGCAGGGTAGGTAGATGTTGGGGAGGAAGGAAGGGACTCTGAGCCCTGTTCCTCCCGAGGTCTGCCTGATTGGACAGTGTAAAATTGGGATTCTACCAGGCAGCAAGGACAGCATAGCCAGCCATCTGGGCCACCTGAGGTTCCTCTGAGCTGGGGGAGCTGGTGCATCCTGCAAACCAGACTTGTCTGCAGAGCACCCTGCAGGAAATAGAGGCTGGGGCTCAGCTCTGACATCTGCAGGAGCCATGGTAGGGGAAATAAGACAAAAGAAAAGGGCGTGGCTTTGTCTCAATAGCTGGGCTGTTCTCACCGAGATCTGAATTTCACAAAATGTTCACATTTTCTTCAGTACTACTGGACATTAAACAACAGGCACCAGGCAGGAACCATCCCATGCACTGTGACTTGTTGTCCTGGTCTAGAGCCGAGGGGTACTTCAGGAATGAGTTTGCAATCCCTTCCCCCCAGTGGAGGGTTCTGACCCTCCCAAGAACCTCCCAGACTCCTTTGCACCATTGACCACTGTGTGCAAATTTAAAAATACAAATCTGGAATCTTTAGTCCTAGCACTGGAAGGCAGAGGCAGGGGGATCTCTGAGTTTGAGGCCAGCCTGGTCTACAGCTCTAGTTCCAGGACAGTCAGGGACACAGAGAAACCCTGCCTCAAAAAGCAAAGCAAAACAAACAACATAAACCAAAAGAATAACTTCAAGATATCAGAGCTATATAAATCAAAAATAGTAAATAAAGTGCAAATCCCTTCTTCCTTTATGCAGAAAGAAGTGCTGTCTTAACCTAAGGAAGTTTGCTGTGTTGGCTCGGTTCCCTTGAACACTGCATGCACTGGGGACCTTGGAAGTGTAGCCATGGGGAAGCCTCTGCCCTATCCAGTCAAGGGGCTTAGTGTGTGCAGTGATTCAGACTGGAAGTTGCTGTGACAGGGGTAGCCTGGGTTAGGCTCGTAAAGTACCTGGAAGCTGAGAGGGGCTTTTGGGCACAGGCAGTGAAGAGCAGGTGACATCCTCAGGGCACAGAGCCAGCTGGGGTGTGTGGCACAAGAGGAGATGAGTCAGAGACAGGCACTGGGGAACATGGCCGGGTACTGGCGGGAGAAGGAATGAGGCTTCAGCAGGGTTCTGTGTTCTTAGGCAGAGCTGGGACACTCACTCTCGTGTCTGCTGATATGGGTGGAGGTCACTTGGCAGGGCTGTGATGTAGTCCCTCTGCTGAGGAGGCAGTGTGGCCTATAAGTAATACTTATGGCTCTGCCATTCATCAATGGGTCTGGCAATGATGTAGCATTTGCTGTGTGATCTTATGTAAGTTACTTAAGTTCTCTGAGCCCTGATTCTTCACTAAATTGTTATTTATTTATTTATTTATTTTGGTTTTTAGAAACAGGGTCACTCAGTGTAACCTTGGCTGTCTTGGAACTAGTTTTGTAGACCAGGATGACCTTAAACTCACAGATATCTGCCTACCTCTGCCTCCCAAGTGCTGGCATTAAAGGTATGCGCAACCACTGCCCAGCTTCGTATTTCATTTTAACTCTGTGCACTTGTGTATATTCACGTAGGACATGTGCATGTGAGTACAGGTGCCCTTGGAAGAGGCCAACAGATCCCCTGGAGTTAGTGTAACAAACAGTTGTGAACCACCTGGTATGGGTGCTGGGTGGGACTCGAACTCAGTCCTCTGTACTATAGGTTCAGGTTCTTAACTACTGAGCCATGTCTCTGGCCATAGTATTAGAACTTTTACAGGCAAGCACCAGAAAGTGGCTGACAGGAGTACAAGGAATGTATGGAAGGAGACAGGAGTCTGGAGACACCAGGTCAGGTCACTCGGGCAGAAACAGACTTCCAGGCCAGGCCGGGGTTGGCCTGATATGAGCTCCAGTGTCCCAGGCTGCTGCCACTGGATGTTAGACATTGTGACTTCGAAGTTGCCCAGCCAATCACTCAGAGTCTCCTCCCCTAATGGGGAGGGTCACAGTGTGATGCTGGAGACTGGGGGTTTAACAGTTTTAGTCAGGCTGTGATTTACCTGCACTCAAGCCAAACCTCCAAAGTCAAGGAGAAACCAAGTCAGCAAAGTGCTTGCCCCACAAGCCTGGTAGCGAGCGTCTGTCCGCATCCGGCACACACACACAGAGAGAGACAAACAAACCTTTGTTTGTTTTACTTTTGTTTTTTGAGACAGGACAGCCCTGGCTATGTAGACCAAGCTGGCTTTGAACTCAGAGATTTGCCTACCTCTGCCTTCTAAGTGCTGGGATTAAAGATGTGTGCTGCCATGCCTGGCTCATGCAGTTTTGTTTTGTTTTAAAGGAAACTGCAAAGTCCACTTCTGTGCTTCTAGGGGGTAGTGTGAGTTCTGATTCAGGATGAGCAGTAGGCCAATCAGTGTCTTTACCATGGGCCGGGCTCTGGGGATGACATAGGCCACCACAGCAAGCCAGATGGTTAATGCCACTCCACTCACACAGACCAGCGGCTCCCAGTGGCCAGCCAGTCTCTCTTCAGTCTCTGACCTTGGCCTCACACAGGCCACCTCCATTGCTTACCCAAGACCCTTGGCATTGGCACCAGATAGAGCTACAAAGAGAGGGTAGGGAGTGTATCAAGAGAGCACTTGGGACTTGTAGGGCAGGACAGCGCGAGTCAGTTCTGAAAGGGGTCAGTGTCCCCAGCAGAGGGGAGATGGAGGCAGAGGAGGGCAAAGCCTGCAATTAGGAACGAGTCTGAGTGCAACCACGGATCCCTGGAGACCCTGAAGATGGACGTATCTCTAAACTTGTCTTCAGGCTCTAGGGGAGAGCTTTTAAATGTACTAGATCCATGTCTGGGGTTAAAAGCTCTTTTGTTTTTCTAACTGCAAAGAGGCTGAGTTATGGCCTCTGCCTCTGGGATCCCTAGGCAGGCAGAATGCCCCCCCCCCCGGGGGCCCAGAAAAAAGAATGAAGGGGGTTTGTGCCTGGCTGAGGCTCTGCTGTGGCCATGAGTCTGTCTTCCACTCAAGCCGACTTGGATCCAATCTCCTGGGAAGTCAGTCAGAGTCTGGGTCTGGTAATGCCTTCGGCCTTGGCTTCAGGGACGATTAGCAGGAATGGGTGGGGAACAGCGCCTGGCTTAGACCCGATTCCGGGGGGCTCTGCAAGAGACACTGGAGTGGTCTGCAAAGTGCTTGTGAGGCTGGTAAACGTTCATATCCATTTGGCTTCCGTCAGAAGCAATCTTCCCCCAGATGCCTGCAGGCACCTGTCAGGATCAACCCTCTGCCACACAGAATCTCCTGGACACTCAATTGTTGTTTGGGAGGGTGCTAGCCTCTCAGGCCATCCATCCTCATTAGATTCCCCATCAAAACTGCCCAGCTTCAGGCACCAACACTGCATGGTCATCCCCAGCAGACTGGATGCTGTGCCAGGCCCCAAGCCCCTGAGAGGACTCAGCAGGCACAGCCTGCCCTCTGGAGACTGGAGTGGAAAGAATAGGGCTCAGTCTGAGAGGCACTTTGCCGGCTTCCTACGTGGCATTGCCCTATGCCCTTTCTACCCCCCAAAGGCTGGCAGGGTAGCCTGGAGATGGCAAGAGTTTACCTCTGCTGCCCAACCAGCCTAGCTAGGGAAAATCCAGGCCTCCCGAGGCAAGTCAGTGCAATTAATTGCTACTGAACAAATTAATTGAGCACCAGCCACGGGGAGCCAGCTGGGACTGAGGCGGAGTAGCTCTCAGCTGGGAGGGCAGATGGACAAGGGGGCTAGCTTGTGTCAAGGCTGAGGGTCACTGGAGAGGTCCTGATCTTACTCTAGAAACCAGGTGATGGGGGACAAAGTGGTGCTCAGTGGGAGCCACAAGGCTTGTTGGAGTCTAAGGCAGCTTCATGTCACTGACATAGTTGACATAAGAGGGTCTGAGTCACAGGACAGTTGGTACACGTGGGTGACAGGCCCACAGGGTTGGGCTCTTTCTGGGGCTCAGTGAGTTCTCAATATCAAAGGGTTTCCACAGGGAGGGGTGACCCTGACGGCAAGGCAAGGTGAAGGAGTGCAGTGAGAGTTGAATAAACTGAAGCATGGACCTTATGGACTCTGAGTCCTGGCTTCCGGAAGTGGGGTGACACGTGGGAACTATTGGGGCTCTTTGACTAGCAGGTTGGAGAGACCTCAGAACAGATGGATAGATGATGTTTCAAGATGGCCTTTAGGCTCACTTGGTCCCTGACCATGACTAAGCCATGCTCACTACAGGGGTGGAGGGGATGGGATGGAATGTCAAGGACATTGCTAAACTTGACACCTACCCCTACCCCAGAAAACGAGGAAGGACAACCATGGATGATCTTGTGAACCAGATCGGAGATCTTCCTCACTGGGCCCAGCCCAACCCTAGCCATGTCCTCTGGGAGGCCTCTTTGACTACCCTGGTTAATTTCTACACCCCTTCCCTACACCTATCACAGGTTACCACCTGCCCCCATGTTTCCTACCTCAGTCTTAGGCAGGGCAGGAATTGTGTCCTCTCTTGTTCACCTGGGCTTGGCACAGCACCTTCACTGTCCCCATACGCTAACACTTCTTAGACAAATGACCTTCCCCTCCCTGAGCAAGGAAGGAAATCCTGCCGTTGCTAAAGCCTTCCCTTTGTGTAATCATAAGTGGGTCTCACATCTCCAGCAGGGACTCAGGGTACACACACACCTCACCCCACCTGAC